TAATCGGCTAGTGGTGCTTAACACCCCCTCTTTTCTGTTGTCTTTCTTTCCTCTTACTATCTTGGCCCTTATGTGTATAATCTGGTTCACGATATCTGACACGGCACTGAAGGAGACCCTGCTGCAGAAACGGTCGCCTTCGGACGCTTTGGAAATATGTCACCGGAAGATCGCCAGAAGCCTGGAGACCAGGATATTCGTCAGAGCAGGTATCAAGCCGCCGCTGGATGTGGAAGGGCGTCGCCTGCCAGGACGCCCGTAGATCCAGCGAAGGACCATGAACTCGCTAGCGCAGATACCAGTCGCCCCATGATGCTGTGGACGGGCGCCGCCTGCCTGGACGCCGCAGATCCAGTCAAACTCCAGGAGCTCGTCAGCGCAGGCATCAGGCGCTTTGAGATGCCGAAAAGGACACTTCCTGCCCAGGCGACCGTAGATCCTAACGAAGATTACGAGGACATCTGTACGAGCGCGCAGCCGAGAAGGACCTGGACGAGATCTGCAGACCATGCATTGGACTACGAGGAAGTTTGGACGTGTCCGAAGTCAAGGAGGACCTGTGCGAGACCTTCGAGGATGTGTGGATGTCGAGGATGGACGGATTTACCAGGGACCAAGATGAAGATGACGACAAAGACCAGCAGCCACGAAGATGCACCAGGGACACCGCACGCAAAATCGAAATGACTAGCAAGTCAGAACCAGCCAAGTTGAGTCACCCTTGAGGCAAGTCTAAGGCGCCTCGAGGGCTGAGCAATATACCGCATACATATGTACGTATAGGACCACGAGGCTGTTTGCCTCCACGCCACAGTTCCCGGGTATTTAAGGCCGAGGATGACCCGGGCCTGAAAGGGCGGGAGGGCTCACTTACGCCCCCGCCGGGCTGACCGCCGACCTTCTCGCACTCCGCGCTTTACCCCAAGATTGTCTAGTGTGTTTATCTCTGTGTTGCTTGTACTCTTTACAGATAGTTAAAGCCATCGTCCACTATTACTACTCCTGCATAACCAGTGTATAAAGGTGTTCAATATATAACCTTTACAGTTTGTGTGTGTGTGTGTGTGTGTATGTGTGTGTGTGTATGTGTGTGTGTGTGTGTGTGTGTGTGTGTGTGTGTGTGTGTGTGTGTGTGTGTGTGTGTGTGTGTGTGTGTGTGTGTGTGTGTGTGAGCGAAGGAGCCTTGCGCCTTCATTCACATCCTCTTGACGAGGGAACGATTGCCAAATGGCCTTCCGCAATGCCGTCTTTGCCCACTCTGTCTGATTCAGCCATTTTGCTTCTAGATTAACGCCAGTCGAACAAGAGAGCAAGAGATTCATGACAATCACCTGGCAGCAGGCAGACACAGTGTGTGTGTGTGTGTGTTTGGGTGTACATACACGCACACACACACCTATATAGATATATAGTTAGATACATACATATAGATATAAATATCTATAAACATCGCAATTTAGCCCCAATACACTTTTCAGTGTATACGGGAGGGAAGTATATACATGCGTCTTTGCCCTGAGAATGATGCACACCTTTCCAATACATGTTTGACAGTTAATGGCTCTTGGCATCCCTCACAGCGTGCTTCACTTTTAGTCATCATCCCCCATGAGTCTGTCTTGTGTGCCCAATTCTCAGCCTTGTTAACACAACTTCTATTTGTCAGTTGGGATAGACTTCCGACTGCCAAGGTTATCTCTAATCTCCCACAGTTTGTTTCTAGAGGTGAGCATCCATTGCTCCCTCCGTTTATCGTGAAGAGAATTTCTGATGCTGCGTTTCAAGTCAGTAATTGGGAGAGGAAAACAAGCATCGCAGGACTGAGCGGCAGCTGCCTTGGCCCTCCGATGAGCTCGCTCATTCCCATGGATGCCAACATGCGCTGGCACCCAACATGAAGTTAATTTTTTGCGTGCTGACATCAGTGCAAACCAATTTTGAGAGCATGAGTAAGGAAGAGGTTCCGCGCCTTCTCTTGCCTGCTGAATCCAGCACCGGGAAGGAAGGCTGCGTGGTGCGACTCTCAAGAAAAGCCTTCAGCTGAGCCTCGAATTCTCTGATCGAAACTGCGTTACCTTGAAGACAGCTTGTCGTGTTTTATAGGTAAGTTTATTCATGTGTGTAATTATTTGTCCATTTATTTATCCGTCCCTCCATTCATGTATTCATTCATTCATATATTCATATTTTAGAAAGCAAAGGTATTTTTTTTCTTCCTTTCATTTTTATTTTCTTTTGCGTGTGCGTGTATTCCCAAGGATTCCAATTTCCTTTAGGGAGGGAAGCGATTGGAGTAGAATGTACATTAAGAAGCAATATGCAGAGCCTGAACTCTTCCATTCTCAAACGAGGAAAAAATAAATAAATAAAAACTAGACCCCGGATTATGTTCGAAGACGAAAAGGGAGGGAACAGAAAGGAAACATAACGAGGATGGTGAATAAGAAAATAATAGTTAGGGAAAGCAAAGGGCAAAGTTAGAGAGAGAAAATTTGCAAAGCTGCCCACTGGGAATGAACGTCATTGCATAAAGTCTTGTTGAAATTGATTACCGGTGGACTTGCGATGAACAGATGAAATTTTTCAGATAAAAAGAATGGACAGATGTGTTATGTATATGATTTTTTTTATATATAGTTCCTATTTGGTTGTATAATTTGTTTTAGAATATTACTAACTATATTTAAGCTATCCCTCGCAATGCGTTCTTTTATGTACCGGCAAGTATGTAGATTACTAACTCTCCCATACAAGATCTTTATTAAATATTAAAGAAGCAGCACCTTACAAGAAGGCATATAATTACCCTGATATAGAAGCCTACAGGAAGACCCAACGTGACGAAGTTGGCGACGAAAATGGGATTACATCAAGCGATTTATTAGAGCAATGAACTATACATTTCAGATCAGTACATGACGTAATTGTGTCATCATAAGTGTGTGCAAACACAACACAAAGAGAGACAGATAGAAACGATAAAATGTAAAGTAAGGCAAATCATTTCGTGTCCTTATAAAATAAATACTTCACTCGGATTCAATCCATCTAATATTAATCCTGCAATGGAAGGCGAACGAGTACACACGTAACAGTAAATTTACTCCACCACACATTAATTAAATGCAGGTTTGTCACACGCCCTAATGAATACATTTTTTTTTGTTCTTGACATAACCTCACTTCATCCATAAAATGCATTATGTATCTGCTCACTTATAAGATTTTGTCACTAAGCTCTGCTGTTTCGAAAAGCGGGGTACTGAGTTCGCCCCCCCCCCTCTCTCTCTCTCTCTCTCGCTCTCTCGCTCTCGCTCTTAATGTCTAATCATTATTATGATTATCACAATACTAGTGATAATAGTCTAATACTCATAATATGAATTATAATGATAGCGATGATACTACTGCCAACAGAACTAATACTGTTTCTACTAACAATAATACGTGTACTAACAACAGTAATGATAATAGTATACATGTGCGTCCGTGCGTGCGTGCGTCTGTGTGTGTGTGTGTGTGTGTGTGT